TTTTTGAGCTAAGCACCCTTTAGCTACTCTGACATGTCAGCTGCCTCAAGGATTGGGGACTTTATTATGAAAGTGACAGGTGTCAGGGAGAGGGGAGGCAGGGGAACAATTATTCAATGTTTTAGCAGAATCTTGGCATTCCCCTGAGACACAGTATTTTTGAATAATGGTGGTGCCTTTGAATCAGTACTGTGTTCATCAAGGCTAGTAAGATGGATAAAACCTTAAGGAGCATATTTCCTGATGATGATAAAAGTAGGAGAGAGACTCCTGATAAATGAATTGGTGACACTCAGAACAAACACTATTGAGGAGAGGACTTGGACCCTGGAATCCATACTTGACTCTGAGCCATGTCTCGGCCTCCCTGAATGGAGGCCCAGGTGATTTATCACCATAATAACTTAAAGCCTAAATCAGAAGTCCAGCCTCCACTGGAAGACAGAGCTTACTTTCATCTGTGAAGCTTGGCTTTGGACCGCCTTCCCTGTGAGCACAGGAGGATCTGTAACAGCGCCTCCCATGCCCAACCTTGTCATGCACTCCACCGTTCGCGTTAAGTGGAAGGCAAGTTCCCAATGTAAGCAGTGACCGCCATTTAATCTTGATGAGTGGGAGAAAGCACCACTTCAACTGCAGAGTACAACTTCCCAGAAGAGATTGGGAAGAGCTAGATGTAGGTAAACAAATTGCTATGTGTTCATTCAAAGCTTTATTGTTTCCTACGTGGTCTAAGAATACTTCAAGAAGTACAGTTTTAAGAATGTTTGAGACAGTTGTATTCAAATATAGGAAGGCCTACGAATTCTCTTTAACAAATCTGCAGACATGGTACAGCATATACGTATGACGTTAAGTAAACCAGTTTCTAGGGTCGAGGGTGCTATGCCCACATTTTCCCACTTCTCTAGAGTTCATGGAATTTTCATACATTGGACTGAGTTGAGAAGCAGTTTATCTGCTCTTTATAATAGGGGAAAGTGGCTATTCAGTGTGTCTTTTTTTTTTGAAACAGAGTATGTGTTAAATGTGAGGGCTGCAGGTTCCAGCAGGATTTGAGATGTCTGGCACCTGTAACCAGGAGGAAACTCTCTGCCTAGCAATCTCAGGGGAATCTCAGCTAACTCGAGCTTCTGTTAGGTTTCAACAGGCCTCATAAAGGAAATGAAAACTGATGAACATGGTCATGAATGTAGCAGGTGTAGGGCCTGAGCCTTTCTGGTGAAACAACCTGGTGTTGGGGAGGGGGTGGAGTGGGGAGGAAAGGGAGAGTTCGTAGGAGTAGAATCTTGGCTGGGGCTTGGGGAAATGCCAAGAAATAGGAAGCAGAACAAGGACATCTTTTGGGAGTAGTCTGTCCAAGCATTTGTGGGAGATAGAGAGAGAAGGAGAAAATAGGGTGTGCAGGGGCAGGAAGGAGGGAAATCCACATGGGAATATATCAGTGAGGGCAAAGTCAGAGCCCAGAGACATGACAGAAGATAATAAAGGCAAGAGGTGGGACTTCCCTGGCAGTCCAATCGTTAGGACTCCATGCTTCCACTGCAGGGGGCATGGCTTTGATCCCTGGTCAGGGCACTAAGATCCCACCTGCCGAGGGGCTGGTGGGATAAATAAATAAAGGCAAGAGGTGGTATGATGGTCAGAAGAGCTTGTTCTCAGGCCCATCTTTTCACGAGGGGCCTCGGGCTGGGCAATCTCAACACAGATTTGCTCCCCTCATTCTAAGAGAAAATAGGAGCAGGGAAGTGGAAGAGACCATTTCCCTGGAGGTGGGGAGGAGGAGGGACGGGGCTGCTTTATTGCCTTCTCTCCAGGCAGCTTTCAGAATCATTCTTGGGCCTCAAAATGGATTCGGCTTAGGGGCGAGTGGGTTGTGGTGCAAAGGTGAATTCTCTGAGTTTCCAGTTGCATCGGAGGCCCAGCATTTAACCAGGGTCCTGAGAGAAAGAAACACACTTATCACAGGCTGGGGGCATTTCAGACACCATCGAGGGCGTTTCATGGGCATGTAGAGTGTGTATAAGGGACTGCAATTTATTCAACCCTTTATACACAGCCCCAAAGAGTACAGCTTAGTGTTTCGTAGCTACAGGTGCTCAGAGTTTCTGTTGAAGCAAAACACACTACCTACCCGAAAGGAAATGCTAGAAAAGCAAATACCCTTAAGTGGTACCCAGTCCATCAGATTAAATTCCCTGTTCAGCAGACCTTCCAGGCAATCAAGACAGCAATGACCCTAGAAACTCAGGGAGTCTCACTCTGCCCTCGAAGGGTCTACAATCTATCCAATGGTTTTAATACCATCTTCTGAAACAGTCAAGGAGTGTTCATGAAGTGAAGCCCCCTGCAGAACCAGACCCTCGTCGTAGGCAGGTTGGGCCTTCAGGATGTGGGTGGATTATGAGGGAGTTAGGCTGCTATGACCACCCCTGAGATCTTAGCCCTCTTAATACATCTTCTCCCTTGGGACTCCTTCTATTCATAGCCATTGGTTCCAACTCCGTGTTACAAGGAATGGGAAATGGCAATTAAAAAAAAAAAAGTAAAAAGAGTGACCAAAAGAATGACTTCAAAGCTTTGGTCTGAGTGGATAGGCAAACTGAGTGTGAGTTTGTAAGTTTGGGAGAAAGGCAGACTGCATAAGATGATGTACAAGGAAAGACAAGAGAAGAGGGAGGTAAAGACTTTCTTCCCTTATACTTCCTGCAGCTTCCTGGACATTAAAATTTTGGTTACAGCTCACAAAGAGGGGCCACTCTCAAGCTGATCTAATGACCCTGAAGCCAGATCCCCTCTAATATTACGCACACACTACACTAATAGTTTCCATTTTAAAAACTCCAGAATGACAGTGATGAAATGACATTTTAAAGTGTTTACTCTTCATATCCATTAAAACATTCAGAACAATTTCCATCTCGCCCTTGGCAGCTCATCCACATAAAGATTTATCTGCTTTTTGCTGGCTTGGTATCAATTTTCCATCAACTCTGACAAACTGCCCCCGGATCACAGATGTCTTGTGTCAAACACCTGTTAATGCTGTCAGGCACCAAAGAGTTCACGTCAGAGAAAGCTAAAGAAGACAAAATATCTAGGCTATTTCTACAAAAAACGGGGTAATAATTTTGTATGTGAACATGCTGCACAAAGATCTTTGGAATCAGCAAAGGCTTCCAAGCTTGTGTAACAATGGCTTGATTCATAGGATGTGTACAGATGATACCAGAACTGCTCGTTTAGAGTGCTTTGATTACAATCTATGTGTTTCTATTTTGTCCATTTCCTGAAACTTATCTTGGGAGAAAAATCAGGAGAGCAATTTTTGTAAAAACTGATCCAACCTACATTTTTGGTCTTCACACTTCTATCTGTGCTAAGTTTGGACTTATTACTTCAATACTGATTTTTAAATAAAAATGCACTATATATTTGGTAATAGCTGTAGGATGCCGAGATACATTAAAATAATTGTTCTGCTATTCTCAACAGAACAAAGGGCTTTAAATAAAATAAGGATCAGTGTAAAGTGCCTTTGCCAACAACCATCAGTCAAGGGTGCTAGTGGGGCTTTTTTTAAACTTCTAAAGTAAATGCAAAATTGACTTGCTAGTAAGTTATTAAATAAAAAGCAGAGAATCCTACATATAGATTTGTAAAGACCACAACAGATGCATGAGGTCGATAACCCTGGAAGCCCTCAATAAAAGGTTAAATAAAAAGAATACTGCCATGGTCTTCTTCATGATGTGTATGCTTTTCGTTTGCCCATTGATACATCAGTTGTGTCACATGGATACCTTAGTCCATGAATGTTACAATACATGGAGTTAAGGAAAATGATGACCTCTAGGATAGTTCTGATGAATGTGAAAAGAATGACATTCAGGGAGTGTGGAGATACTCTCAGAGGGATGCAGAATGGAAGCTTCAAGTCTAGGCAGAGACAGAGGGAAAGGAGAGGCAGAAATGGCTGAGTGTAATCTGTGGGTCTCGGCTCCAGTGCATTCCCTCAAATGCTGTGCAGCTGGTGACCTGTCCGCCTCATCTCTGAAAGACAGAGCATTTCTAAGACACAACTCCACCCAGTAGTTGTGGGTTTTGTCTGTTATCTGTCGTTGGCTTCTTTGCTAAAGTGTCCAGGAAGAGGTCAACTTGAATGCAAGTCGGGAGAATTCTATAAGAGTGGGTCAGTATCTGGGGAACTCACGTTTAATTCAGGTTCCTGAATCCTAATATACCCCTGGCTTCATGTGGGCAGCAGATGCTCTGGGGCCCAGTTCAGCTTCTGGAATTTTCATGAAATGTTTACACAAACACCAACGAAAAAAAAATACTTGGGGACCTGGGTAAAGAATTCTCATCACTACTGTCACAAGAGCTTCCAACTGGACCCACAGACCATGACCCTAATGCCGGAAGGAGTGGAGAGGCAGAAAAAAGCGGAGCATGAGAAATCCTCAGAGGGTGAAACACATCAGCTTAAGTACTGAAGCACAGGTGTGAAGGCCGTTTCTGGTTCATCTTCTCTTCATTCTTGACTCCACCCAGGCTTTCCTTCCATTTTCTCCCTTGTCTCTGTTAACTTGGGCAGGGTAAGGAGGGAAGCGACAGCTCTGAAGGGCATGTGGTGTCAATGATAGCATACCCAGACACCAAGTCCACTCGTCCTGGGCACCAGAGGACCAGCGAAGCCCAGAATGAGATGCACTGTCTAGAGGCATCACACTTCCTAAGACATGTCCATACACTTCCACTGTAGGTGCACAATATAAACTTCTTTAATTTTAGTTAAAGGTTGTTCAGGGCAAGTAGGTGAAAGATACCTGAATCCTGAAAACCCACTGAGCTGAAGATTTAAAAATACTGCTAGATTTTCAGATGTTCTTTAATTTATCAGAGTTAACAGCTACCCGTTCCAAGGAAAAATGCAACTTTATGTCCATAAGTGATTTTTACAAACTGAACATAGCATTTGATGATGTGATTCAAACTAAACTTACAGAAATATCTTTAGTTAAAGAAATTAACTAAAGCCCCCCTTGTGGGGGGCTCTCTCTGTGGGCTGGTATCACAAGGGCTGACCCAAGCTGTGCAGAGCAGACAAGAATAACTGACTTACCTCCTAACTGGAATTTTCCCATTTGTGTTGGTCATAAATGCCAATTTCATCCAGCTGGAAAACAACAGTAACAACTGTTTTAATGTTTCTCGGGAGAAATAGCTTCAATCTGGTTAAGAACTTTAAAAGAAAGTTCATTCAAACACAGAACATTTATTCGGAAAACCAGAGACAATTACACACTGTGAGATGAATTTACTGTTGTCAGATTTAGCAAACAAAAATATAGGACTCTGTTAGATCTGAATTTCAGATAAACAACAAATAAATTTTTACTACAAGTATGTTACAAATATTGCATAGGATGTACTTATACTAAAACATTATTTGTTACTTATCTGAAATTCAAATTTCACTGAGAGTGCCATATTTAATCTGGTAATCCTAGATGAATCAGAAAATTGGGAATTTGCATGAGCAAAGCAAATTGTAGGCACTTATTTGGTGATTGGTTTCGTCCTTGATTGTTGCTCTTTAATAATCTACTAAGGGGGTAAGAAATGCAAGTGCATGGTAACACCAGCCAGTCTAGTCTTGAGGACAGTGGGGACCCCCTCCACCCCAGCTCCAGCTCCTGCTCTAAGTGTAGTGAAGATGGAGAAGCAGGCAGGTGTGAGTCCTTAGTGACCTAATCCTCACAGCAGCTGGCGGATGGGTGGACACCAGCTCCATAAAGGGATCTGGACCCTTAATCTGTAACAGTCAGAGAAGTTCATCGACTCAAACTGATGGTGAAAAATGCCTTGCTTTCCCCAGGTGTTCATGATACATGGAGACCCAGAACATATATTTGTCCTTTGGTGCTTGCAGAACATGATGATTTGGTAAAGTTTCTGTCTTAAGTCAAGCTTCCTAGAAGCACATGTGACTACTTTTAAGGGGATGGTTTCAGGACCATAGGAGTGAGGGAAGCAGACAGGCAGGGAGGAAGTTACACGAAGCTGTGCTCTCAGCTGGAGCTTTGTCCTGACGCCACAGGGAGCTCTGGAGTGTGATTTGCACCAGGCTTGGTGGCAAGGGGGCTGGCCTCCTGTATACTGTCTCAGCCTGTCATTGGCCATGGGCTTCCTTCCAGAAGAAGGGAGGGGTCTAGGGTCAGCCCTCCTTATCCGTGGGTTCTGTATCTGTGAACACGAAGGGTCAACTCTAAGGGACTCGCATCAGTGGATTCTGGTGTCAGCAGGGCTCCTGGAACCAATCCCACAGAGACGCCAATGGAGGACTGTGATCTCCCAGGGTCGGTGACTCCCGGTAGGCAGAGGGCAATTCTCTGGAGAAGCAGGCAGGTGTGAGCCCTTAGTGACCTAACCCTCCCAGCAGCTGGCGGATGGGTGAACACCAGCAACAGAAGGGGATCTGGGCAGGACACCAATGAAGGCAGATAAGATCTGGTGTCCAGATACAAGGACTTGGGTCACTCAGGCATAAATGGGCATGCCAAAAGTCTGAGGTTATATAACTTCAAAGTATCTGTTGGGTTGCTCTTTATTTTTAAGAAAACATGACACAGCAACTGCAGAGGACAAGAAGCTGCTGAACAAAAAATAGGAATGTACAAGACTAAATAACTCCCCTCTGATAAGACAATGGGAAAAACACTGGAGGGATGATATCAAAATCAAAATAACTAATACTGAACAAGGAGGGATGGGGAACCAGGCACCGGGTTAGGTGCTCCCCACGACCTTATTTCCTCTGCGTGGTATCTTATGAGTGGTGTCACCACCTCCATTCACAGATGAGGACAGTGAGGCACAAGGTTAAGAATTTGCCAAGAGTGACCCAGCAACGAAGTGGCCAACCTGGGATTTACAGCACAGAGTCCATGCTGTTAAAGCACCTGCCAAAGGGACCAGAAGTAAAAAGCAAAATGCCCGAAGGACTGATCTCTCCTCCCATGGCCTGGAAGTCCAAGGAATCCCGCCCTTGGTGCTGGACCTGAGCCTGGCTAAGAGATACCGGCTTATCCCTGCAGATTCTCAGTGTGGTTCTCTCCTACACCTCATGACTGCCTGCCAAGGGCCCTGTGATAACAGGTGGCCCCACTCCTCCATGGATCACTGCTTTTCAAACAGGCTGATTTGGGCTTTGGCTAGAATTTCTACTTGAGTAACTTTCATGTCACCTGGAAAGAATAACTTCGTAGGGTTAAAACCTACCATGTCATGTAGGTCCTCTCTGAATTTTGAATACAGAGCTGGAGTAAGGAAGGCCTGCTTTCTGAATTTCAAAAGTACCTTTGGATCCCTGATTGGGTGCTAAACAGTCCCTGGGGCCAGGGCTCCTTTTCCACTGGAGCCATCGGTGCTTTTGCAAAAGTGCTTCTCTTGGCCACACTCCCCATTTCTCAGTGTCATGCAACAGAGACTCCAGCTACATCAGCGCCCAAATATGGCCCCAGGCATGCAGAGCTATTTATCAGCAGACTCAGTCTCGGGACACAAAAGACAGGGCCCACAACCCAGAGGATACTGGGGAGCTGAGGTTCCAGCATCTTTCTGCCATCAACCATTCCTTTCAAACAGGTTTCAGGCTGTGGGCTTATCACACATGCCCTGCCAGGTGGCATGAAGAGTACAGGTGCATATTGGTCAACATCTTCTCCAAGGTCAGGAGCATAGAAGCAAAGGCAAGGAAGATGCTGCCTGGTCCATATACATAGCCTTCATCTCCTAATCTGACTGTTTGCTTAATAACAGCCAAAAACAAAGGATCATGCAAATAAAACTCACTGTTTCTTGAGGCATGTCATGGGACTGACATTGTTGGCCCTGAAGTTGTGTATGATGGATCTCAGGCCTTCGACCCATTGCTGAAAGAGAAAGAAAAAAAGTGTTCTTGGTGAGCAAATCTGCCAGAGCTAAACTGGGTGTTTTTTTATTAGACAGCTCGTATCCATTTTGTGTAAGAATAATATAAACTCTTCTTTATCTTCTTCCTGCCACTCAGCCATCCTCATTCCACACGCTCATATTTTATGCTTTAATAAACAGCTTTCATTCTTTCCATGAAGACAAATGTGGCATCTACAGTGTCATTAAACACTGGGTTGTCACGAAGCAATGCTGCCCACTGATTGACTTGTTAAGCCTTCTATTTGCAGCCTGTTTAAATATAAGCCCCTTTCAGTTGCTGGCAATATTAATTATTTCTAAAGCAACATTATACAATACGTGATGACATACTTAGCTACTCTCATTATAGAGGATGAAGGCATTCGAGGTTCATCCATTTTATTGTGTGATTCTATTTCAATGTAAGAATTTGTTACTTATCTTACCTGTCTGTGTTTTCCAGCAAAGCCTTAAAAAGTAAAACAGGCATCGATGCCAGGGTACCCAGAGCAAAGAGCAATGTGCTTGCATGATTTCTGTATAAGGACTTGGACCTCGGTTTTAGTTCATAACATCACTCCATGGATTTACAAGGAAAAGTGAAGACTGTGTGTGGCAGTAAAGGAATTTGGGTTTCCAAAGGACATTTTACTAGAAAAGGCTGGCCCATGAATTAAGGCCCACTCTGCCCTTGCGTCCAATAACCGATGCCAGTGAATGCCATACCAAATTGCTAAAAGTGAGAGTCACAGTCTTGGCTAAATGCTGTGAAGCAAATTGATACTGGGGGTTCAAACAGAACTGGGGCCCACACACAAGCCAGCACCTTACCTTCTTAGGTTTTTGGTCTGACTGCTGTAGCTCTATGCTGAGGATGGGAAAATACTTTGGAATAGACAGTAATGCAGATGTACAGTCTTCCTGCCCTGTCCAGCATGGCAGCCACTAGCCGCATGTGGCTAAATTAAACTGAATAAAGATTCATTAAATTAAATGAATTAAATTTAAACCTAATAAAAATAAAATTCAGTACATCTGTCACACTCATCACACTTCAAGTGCTCAAACCCAGCATGGGCTTAGCGCCTAACATATCGGACAGTGCAAATAAAGAACATTTCTCTCATCACCGAAGGTTCCATTGGACAGCATTGCATAGTATTACCAGCTTTAACATGGCCAAGGGATTAAGTCACTTGCGAGGGCCAGAGGTGATGACTGGGCTCTATATGTGTGTGTGGTTTTAATTTTAATTGTGATATAATACATATAACATAAAATTTATCATTGTAACCATTTTTAAGTGATCGGTTCAGTGGCATTAACTAACAGTCACATCATTGTGCAACCGTCACCACCATCCATCTCCAGAACTCTTTTCATCTTGCAGAAATGAAACTTTGTTCCCATTAAACAACCACTCTTCATTTCCCTCTCCCCACAGCCCATGACAACCAAAATTCTACTTTGTTTTTCTGAATTTAACTACTCAAGGTACCTCATGTAAGTGGAATCATGCAGTATTTGTCCTTTGTGACTGGTTTATTTAACTTAATGTCCTCCTCAAGGTTTATCTGTGTTGTAGCAGGTGTCAGAATTTCCTTCCTTTTTAAGGCTGAATAATATTCCATTGTATGTATAGGCCACATTTGGTTTATCTGTTCATCTATCAATGGATCCTTGTGTTGCTATTATGACTCATGCTGCTATGAACATGGGTGCTCCAGAATCTCTTCAAGAGTCTGCTTTCGATTCTTTTGGATACATACCCAGAAGTGGAATTGCTGGATTGTATGGTATTTTTTTTTTTAAGTTTTTGAGGAGCCGCCATACTGTTTTCCACAGCACTTGCACCATTTTACAATCTCACTAATACTGCACAAGGGTTCCAATTTCTGCACAGCCTCACCAAACTCCTTATTTTCTGTTTTGCTTGTGTTTTGATAGTAGCCACCCTAATGGGTGTGAGTCTACCAGCGAGTTTGTGTTTTCCTCTTTGAGCCCCAGTCATACCTAACAGACTTCTGAAGGGGGACTTGGGAGTGATACGAGGAAAATTTCCTTTCACAAAGAGAAAAGGCCATTTTCTGAGGACTGTAAATAGCACTGAAAGCCTCAGCAAGCATGATGGTGAAGTCAGGGTTCTGAGGGAGGAGGAAGAAATGAAATAGCAGCCTTGAAGAAATGCCTCAATTATTTTCCTCATCAGACCTCACTTCCTCTGTCAGAATAAATATGGGACTCTAGGGCTTCCCTGGTGGCTCAGTGGTTGAGAGTCCTCCTGCCGATGCAGGGGACACAGGTTCGTGCCCCAGTCTAGGAAGATCCCACGTGCCGCGGAGCGGCTGGGCCCGTGAGCCATGGCTGCTGAGCCTGCGCGTCCAGAGCCTGTGCTCCACAACGGGAGGGGCCCCAACGGTGAGAGGCCCGTGTACCAAAAAAAAAAAAAAAAAAAGGGACTCTAACTCCCTGGGGACAATCAAATATCCTGTGATTGGCCAAACAAACCACAGGCCCACACAGAGTTTCCCAAGAAGGGACAGAAAAAGCACAAATAATTTGGTTGGCATGAACTGGGAAGCACTGAAGCCTTGTTACGTGTTCCAAAACACAAAACGAAGTCCATGGTTTCCTGGGGCAAAAAAGTGGATCATTTCTGAGACTGCTGGTTCTTTCTGATCATTCTGATTTAGTTGTTTCTAAAATAAATTACAGAGATATCAGGCTTTGAGGGGGCTTCAACAACATTCATCCATCTTTTGAAAATACAATGTGGAAAATAATTTGTTAGTTTATTGTGATGGAACAGTCCTTGAGTGTCACCTTTAAGGTCATCACACCAGTGACTCGGCTTATGCTTTAGTTAGTAGAAAGGCCCCCGAATCCCCACAAGCCCTAAAGGGCATGGGGAGGGACCTGAAGCTTCTCCTCTTGGTGATGCTGAAAGTGAGGTCCACAGCCTTGTCCAAGGTCACTGAGCAGCCGGCCTCTGCCCTTTGTGTCTGGGAAATTTGTATTCAGGGCTCGTCCAAATGTCTCCTTCCCATCAGACCTTTCCTTCTGTGTGTTATCTTAATGTACACCTGGCATAATAAGGCCAAAAGACTGTGGGAAATATGTTAAGCATTTTGTTTTGTTTTTAACATAAAATAGATGAAATGCCAGAAGGTGTCAGTAGAACCCTAGAATTTAGTTGGAAAGTTGTGCCAGAAGTGAGTTAAATACATATCAACTTCTTTGATTGTTTCCAGATTAACAAAATCAGAAAAAACTGACTTAGGTTTTTTGTTTTTGAATTGCTGAATATAAGCACATACGTTAATAGTCTACGTAACGCCCCACGAGGTGTGTCTTCAAGCCCCAGGATGAGTGTTTCTAGATCATTCCTCAACACACGTTGAGCTCACACACTGCTCCATGGTGACACAGGGTATCATTCCTACTACACTGGGTGTCTTCCCTCTGGTCGGCTGTCCTGAGCAGGCAAACGCAGCCTGGATGCAGGGGAACCAGCCCACAGGATCAGCTCAGTTCCAGTGTCCAAATGGGCAGCTTCTGCACCTCCCCAGGAGGCTGTAATGGTTATTGTTCTCTCATTTTTCAATATTTTCCAATTCTGTCTAAATTAACTTAAAGCTTATTTCAGCCCTTCTAAGAAAAGGTCCTTTGAGGAACTCTTGGGGGCTTGTGCTGGATGGTTCGAGGGGAAAGGAGTGAGGAATGGCAGCTGCCCCTAACTCTCTCCTGGGAATTTTCACCGTCTGCTCTGGGATTCCTTAAACTTATTTTCATCATGCAGGTGGCGTCCATTTTCCAGGTAAAGGGCTGGGCCTCACCCTTAAACACTAGAACTCTCACACACAAAATAATCCCTTTCCTGTTAAAAAGCAAACATATAGAATAACACAAAAGAAGCCGACTCACAGACATAGAGAACAAACCAGTGATTACCAGTGGGGCGCGGGGAGGGCAATATGGGGTGGGGGGATGGGAGGTATAAACTACTGGGTGTAAGATAGGCTCAAGGATGTGTTGTACAACACGGGGCATACAGGCAATATTTTGCAATCACTGTAAATGGACAGTAACCTTTAAAAATTGTATAAAAAATAAAAACAATAAAAAAATGAAATTAAAAATTACTCTCTACAGAAAAAACCAAAAACCAAAAAACAAACAAAAAACTCCCCAAATGTATAGAGACACAGACATAACAAAACTTAACTGAAAAATATGTGAATTTACAGAGCACATATCTTGCTTTTTCCTTTAAAAACATTTGGAAAAATTTTTAAGGTTATGAAAGCAATATTTAAATGCCCTATGTAGAAAAAAGTAAAGCAAAAAAGCATAAAGCAAAAAGTCAACATCACCCCATACTCCATTACCGATATTGAGAGCTGACAACACTTTGCTATCTGCACTTCTAGCTTTTTCTATACACATAGATTTGTCCTCCTAAAATAACTAGTTCTGTTATTTTTCAGTCAGCACCACTTCAAGCAGAGTTGTTGTTCCTTCAACTCAATCTTATCTCTAGATTTTGTTCCAGAAGCATGCCTCTTAGTTTTTAGTCAAAGTACCATACTGTCAAAGCAAAAAATCACAGAAACTCAGTGACACTTTCTAAATCTGCTGTGTAATTTTCTCTAAAGGGAAGACTCAGTAGCAACCTTCCTAGTCATCTGGTGTTTCTTTTCAAAGAGGAGGATACGGTGGAGACAGTGGAGGCATCTTCAACTAAGTTGGCTCAGAAGTTAGAGACTTGCCACCTAAGGTGTAGTCCAGTGACCAGCAGTCAGACCCTCCTGGGAGCTTTTACAATGCAAATCATCAGGCCCCACCTAGGAAATCTGACCCTTGGGAACAGAAATCTGTGTTGAAATGAGCTTTCCAAGTGATTGTTTTGCAAACTCACTTTTAAGAAGCTCTGTTCTAGACTCAGGCCACTCAGAGAGGTGGCTAACTTCATCAAGAT